CCCTAGCCTCCTGGATGATCATCAGTCTCTGGAGGCGCACCTGGAGAAACCTTACAGAGACCCAGAGCCCTTCTTTCAGAGGGGCCCCCCAACCCCCGAGCTCCCCGGTCCTTCTGCACCGCGCTTGACACTTGCGGGGGTCTGGGAGCCACCTCTGGAGACCCCCAGCCGGTCCCGGGGCCTCACATCGTCGTCTTGCACAGGAGCCCCTCGCCCCCGCGGAGTTACTCACCCGCTGCTTCTGTCTTGGTCCGCTGGCGTCGGACAGACGGCGGGACAAGCTAGAGGCCTCGCGAGTCGGCGAGGTGGGCGAATGGGCCGTAGACCGGGGGCGGGGACGGGGTGTCAAGGGGCGGCCCCTGCTTCGCCTGCAGCTCCTGGCGCTGTGGCTCCGACTCGCGCTCACGCTCGCACTTTTCCCCGAGCCGCGTGATGTCACAGAGAAGCAGCCAATCGTGGTGGGGACGCACCGCCCGCTCGGGGCCGGTCACCCAGCGGCGACGCGCGGGGGTCACCACCTGGAGCGTCAGACACCCTTAATGCTTGCGCCCCTCCCGGGAATTCGCCCGCGACTCGGGGCTCCAGCACCGTGGGCACCGCCCACAGCCTCCAGGGCGGGTTAGCCTCGGGCGCTGCCCTCCGGGGGAGGGGGTGAGGGGGGTTGTCCGCGTTGTCATGGGGACAAGGCGCCCCCTCGCGGGCTGGGAGGGAACAAGGCGGCCAAGTCTGGCTATGCGCCCTGCCTCCGCCCTAACCACACACTCCGGACCCCGAAGTGTTTTCGCGCCTCTCCATGGCTTCAGGCCCTCCATTGTCCCGCTTGAGGTTTAACCGCGGTCTTGAGGGTTTGGTCCCAGCAGCAGGTGGTGTGTGGCGGGGCGGATTCGGCCAACATAGTTCTGTCGGGGCAGAGGGCTGCTTGTTGGCCGCAGGGCAGTCAAAAGATTGGAGCCGTCGGGGACTGGGGAAGAGAATAAGAGGGCAGGCGAGCATCTACACTGGCAGAAGACCTTGTCCCTCTCCAGGCCCGGAAAGGGGCACGCACCAGTTGTGAGACCGAAAATGGCACGAGCCTCCTATCCAGCCGCGACACGAGGAATGAGTTCCTCGCTGCCGACGAGGGGGAAGCCAGGTGCCCAAGGTCACCCGGGACAGAAGAGACACCCCCCCCCCCCCCACCCCACACACACACCGATCCGGGTCCTTCAGACTTGCTGCAACTGTGTTAGGCTAAGGCCCAAAGCAGACAGATTCAGCACCTCGGACAGCTCTGCCATGGCCTTTGCCCGCAGGTCGAGTTGCTGGTCCCGCAGTAGCGTTTCTTCCTGCCAGGGTTGGATGCAATTCTTCGCGCCTGGGCCCCGTCACCCACAAAGCTTCTTGAGTGTCAACAGCCAACCCTAAGCCAGCTGACTCCTTTTCTTGGAAAACAACCTGAGACCCGCCTCTCTTTTACCCTCCACAACAACCGGTAGGGACTTGGGGGGGGGGGGTGGCGATGGCGGGAATGGCTTTGGAGAAACAAGAGTTAAAACAAGAGTTAGGGGCTGTGTGTGTGTGTGTGTGTGTGTGTGTGTGTGAGAGAGAGAGAGAGAGAGAGAGAGAGAGAGAGAGAGAGAGAAGAGGTGGGGAGCTGAAGAAGTAGAGGTCTGCTCTGATGAGAGTTGAAGGCTAGAGCTGGCTGGGTAGGACGGTGTGAGAAGCCATCTTTCTCCCCATGGGCGCTTTGGTCTCCCATGATTCTCATAAGCACTATTGTTCTTGACCCCACTTTATAGATGAGGGGCAGCTCAACTGAGGCACATGAAATCAACTCCTTCCACTTGGCCATATCCCCCTCCCTGGGGCCCAGGAAGACACTTCCAGGAGAGTGGAAGTGTTGTGTGTATGGGAGAAAGCAGAATGGTGAGCAGTCACATGAAGAAACAAGCCAGGTTTGTTAAGAACAGAAGGTTCCAGAAACCAGAAATGCCTCCAACCACTAATCCAGTGAGGCTTGGGCTGTTACCTCACCCACCCACATCTCAGTACTCACAGATGAACCCTGGGAAGCTGAACTGGAACTGGGGGACACAGTTTAGTCTATCTGTTCTTTCTTTGACCTAATGGCCTCTGAACATTTTCCTTATCTCTTAGGGACTCCCAGTCCTTGCCCTGCTGATAACGCATCTGTGATGTGTAAGGTGCCCTGCAAAGGCGGCTCTCCCTGGGCGTGCATCCTTTGCCAAGGTAGTAGAAGTGGACAAGGCATGTTCACATTTGATATTTGAACTGCTTTATCACAAGCCTTCTTCATATCCTTTCCCAACCAACGAGAGCACGTCCAGATCCATTCAGTTTCCCCTACGCCTGGACTTCTGTGCTGAAGAGGCCAGATGTGTATGCCTTGGCTTAGTCACGTGGCCCAAGGTAACTGAAGGAATCACTTCATGGTTTTTGGAGGGGTAGATCCTGCACACTTAGCACACGGTTTACACTCAAATTCAGTCTCTATTGTCAAACCAAGGCACACTTCTTCCTGTTTGTAGTAGTAGTAGGTGGGAAAGAGTATGTTGGGGGTCATTCAAGGGGACCAACAAGAAGCACTGGAACTCAGGGAACACGGCTGCAGCTGGCAAAGCCCCGAAGACTACTTGACCTGAGGACCTCATGCTGTTACTGAGCACAGTTGGCTGTTGTCACCACACCCCTCACAATCTTTGGGTTGGATGAAAACTCTCAGGGGGTTCTAGTCCCTCACTGCTGCTTAAAATACAGTGATTGACTTTCTGAGCATTGCTGCTGGAGAGTAAATTCTTTCTCTTAGAAAGAATTTAGACAAGCAGAAATGTTAATAAGGTTAAGAAGTTTTTGTTAATGGCTTTGAGGTAGAAAATCTTGGGGAACAATTTAAAGTTTAGAAAGGCATAATTTTAAGAGCTGGGGGAGGGACTCGTTGAGGTCAGGGGACAAAACAAAGGCAGCCTGGTCATTGCCGGCTACTGTGCCTTTCTTGCTAGGCCGGGTTGGTGACGAAGGTGATGGTTAATTCCTTGTTCCCGTTTCTGCCCCCAGCTTCCTGATCTGATAGAATAAAAAGAAATTATTGGTAAGTGGATATGCACCCTGAGGATTTAGAAATGATTGTTTTTCATATATGCAACTTTGGATTTGTGATCCTTTTAAGATTTTTCGAGATAAAGTGATCCATTCATTGTAACCACAAAATGCAGTCTGCCAGTAAAAGAACTGGCTGAAAAAAATACCTTGCAAGTAGGGCAGTGGTTACACACGCCTTTAATCCCAGCACTCGAGAGGCAGACTCAGGCCTATCTCTGAATTCGAGGCCAGCCTGGTCTACAAAGTGAGTTCTAGGACAGGAAGAGAAACCCTGTCTTGAAATACAAATAACAAACAAAAAAGAAAAAAAAGAAGGAAGGAAGGAAGGAAGGAAAAGGAAAAAACCTTGCTTGCTTACACCCTGTTAATCTTTATCAAGCTGCTTGGGCATGAATGCATGTGGGTTCTTGGGGATAATTTGTTTTTCATCTGTAACACATTTAGCCACAGGAAGGACATGGAAAAGATTAAAAAAAAACTTATATTCATTGTAATCATTCACTTAAAAATAGAATGTAATCATATTATAAGTTTTACACTGCTTGAAAGATTTTGCTGGGGTATATAAGCTGTGAGGGAAAATTAGGAAGAGACAGAAGGGAAACATCTGGATAGAAAGGAAAGAGATAGGAGAGATGACAGACCCTAAAGGTGTGTGTGTGTTTTCCTTTTTTGCCAGCCCCAGAGTTAAGTTTTGCCTCACTTGCTGGCCCCAGAGAATTTTTGCTTCCTCAGAAAAGTCGAGTGATTAGTTCAATGGCTCCATGGGCCCCCTCAATCCCTGAGCTGCTGAAGGCTGGTTCTCGTGGCAGTGGTAATGTGCAGTGGGGTCCTTCCATCCTTAAATATTTAGCTCAAATTCCTCTCCCTTAGAGGAAAGCCAGTTTCACACCTGTGCTCTGTGTCAGTTGGAACAGTTTGAGATTACAGGGCTAAGAGTAACTTGAAGCAGTCCCATAGTGCACTCCTGCAAGGGAAATGGGAGTTCAGAAGAGGCAAATCTGTCCTAAACCACAGCTAGCCAGTGCCTACTGATACAACTCACCGACAGAGCACGCACAGGCAGAGTGCACACGCTGCTCACGCGTGTGTGCTCCCACGCAGCCTCACAGGTGTGCTTTACTTGCTTGCCCACTTTTGGTTTCATCTCTTTGGAACAGAACCTGCAATTTCCCACCCCACCTCCACCTCTTCCAGAGGACCTGAGTGTCCCACCTGTGATTTCCTATTAAGAGGCATAAGGCCTCTCTTACTTTCTAAACAGGCTTGGCATGTGAAGAAGCAAAAGCCACGGACAGGGCCGGTCCCCCAGCCAACCACGGACAGGGCCGGTCCCCCAGCCAACCACGGACAGGGCCAGTCCCCCAGTCAACCACGGCACATTCCCAGAACCTGTCGCAGTGGCCGCCAGGACTGGAGAGCGCAGCTTTTGATCCACAATCATCACTTAGGCCCACAGTCCTGGACAGGAAACAATTAGGATGACTTCCTCCATCGGTCCACTGAGAGGTTACCCCAATCTCAACAGGTTCCAGTAAGCAACCCTCAAGCAGTTGACTTGGGCTAATGAGTTGGAGAAGATCCCACTGCTAGGTTCACTGAGATGCCTAGGGAAGCCAGGCTGCCCAGTTTGGTGCATTCCACATCACAGTCCCAAACCTTCTTTTTTTTTTTTTTTTTTTGTTTTTTGTTTTTTGTTTTTCGAGACAGGGTTTCTCTGTAGCTTTGGAGCCTGTCCTGGAACTCCCTTTGTAGACCAGGCTGGCCTCGAACTCACAGAGATCCGCCTGCCTCTGCCTCCCTAGTGCTGGGATTAAAGGCGTGCGCCACCACCGCCCGGCCCAGTCCCAAACCTTCTCCCTCCCCCATCTCCGCGGAAACAAGCAGGAGCCTTGCGAGGGGCATGTCATCACTTTAATGATGCAGATCTTTGGTGTCTCCCTCATTAGCAGTAGACTATCCCCTCTCCTCCCTCCACAATGTTTCTATGATGAGTGACAAACAGAAAGGAAATCACATTTTCATACTAAAAACAAAATGATCAGAGCCTTGATTTCTCCACTACAACTACACGCACAGTTCAGGATTCCGCATGCGACACCTCGAATCACAGACCAACACCTCACATTCTGACCTGGAATCTCTCCCTCCAGCCTTGGGCTGGCTTTGGCCTGGGCTCAGGTAATACTGACACCTATAGGTGCTGCATGAAGGGCTTTGGGGAGAGGGGGGAGCTTGGTGGACAAGCTGGGGGTGGGCCAGCCTACACTCTCCCACTCCTGAGGGCCCGCCCACCACCATGCATTGGCTCCATCCTGTGTCAGGCAAGCAGGCTGCTTCCTTCACTCCACAGGTGTCCACGCTGTGAGTATAGGAAGTCCCCTACATGGAAGCTGGGCCAACTTTTCTGTCTTTGCGGGCTGAGAGGACAGAGAGGCTGGAACTCCAGAAGGTTTAGAGTCAGAGGCAATGTGGGTATGGGGTAGGCTGCTCCTCTGCTCCTGGTGGTTCTGCCCCTAGGAGTCAGCAAGGAAGAACTGTCCCACTGTTCTGCCCAGGATGGTGTAGTCTAGATCTGGAAGACTTCATTCTTCTGGGGCTCCTGCCCGGGGCTGAGTCCCCTAGGCCAGTGACCCTAGGAGAAAGGGGGGTTTGTGGAAGAGACACCCACTTGCTTCTTAATTCATACCAGGCCCAGCAGTGTGGCTCTTCTGGGCTCCAGATCCTGGAGGACTCTATTCCCCAGGCTAGTCTTGCCCTCTGGACTGCCCCTGCCCAGCTGGCTCCACGCCCCACCCTCTCATTCCTCCTGTTCCCGGATGCAGGCATCAGCTCTTCTGTGTGTTCAGTTCCCAGCCAGCTGTGAGGTCCAGCTTCTGTTCAGCGGGGTTGAGGGGAGGCACCAGCGCCTGTTTGGGACTCTACCGGTTCCGTGGCTCCCCACTAGGGCCTGCAGCTTCCCCCCTGCTGTTGCCATCACCCTCAGGAAGGTGACTGTTATTGGTCACATCGCAGTGCATGGTTGGTCCCTCATTACTGGCAAGGGGGACTGGAATGGGGACAGGGGAGGAAGACGGCAGGGCTGGCTGAGGTGGTTCTCTCCCAGAGGTACTAGGCTGGTCCCAGGAGGTTGTCCGGGGGCTTAGGCCTCGCTCTGCCTGTTGCCCAGGTTCTGAGAGCAGTCCCCGAGAGGTGGAGGGCTGGGGTGAGGAGGTACGAGCAGCCCCTGACTCTGTGCCTGTCTGGGAGCTGCGGTGAATGCGGTGGCTGACGATGATGTTGTTGCCAAAGCCACCCATGGAGGCCATGGTGGTGCTCTGTTCTCGCTGTACCACAGCTGTCATGCCACCCTCGGCCATTAACCGCTGGATCCGGCTGAGGGCATCTTCCCCACTGCCACCATAGTCTGAGCCCTCGCCTGGCAGGTACAAAGCAGAGGAAAGAAGGAGTTAGTTGCTGGTCTGAGCCTCTGAGCCAGGCAGCAGAAGCTAGCAGATGCTACACACTGTGAAAATTGGAGTTCTGAAAGCAGGAGAAAGGTCCCAAGTATTATTGTTCCTCCTCTGCCTGGGAGGAAGTGGCCAAGGCTACTCATCTGTTTCAAGGCAGAGCTGGGCCCAAGCCTTTCAGCCCCAGCCAGAGTGTCGGCTGCTTTGTCTATACTCTCCCCATCTAGGATGACTTTCAGACCTGGTCCTGGACTGGGATATGTCACCTAATCTTCGGGAAGAAACAGTACCCTGCAGGGTGTGGCTCAAAGGCAGACCGTCTGTTATGCTTTATTTCAGCACTATCTTCCTTCACTGTGTTGTTTTTCTTATTTCCTAAAAGCCTGGGCTTAAGTGCTCCCTAGAAGTCCTATCTCCTGTCCTCTCCCTTTACCCATAGGTCTTCATACCTTCCCTAGTCATTGCTCTTCCTGGGATACATGCTTGACACCACAGTTGAGAACCAGCTGCCTGCCTGGGCCTGTGACTCCAGCCTGCAGCTCTAAGTAGGGGGAGCATGGGTCTGTTCCCCCATGGAACATGGGTATTCCCTGAAAGAACAGACAAGATCTGGGCTCAAATCACACTTCTGCCATTCAGTCACTGGCTGGCTGGGCTTGGTCAAGACTCAGCGTTTGCATAGTATTGGAGAGAAAATGAGAGCCCATATATCAGGGCAGCAGCAGTAGTTCTATCCTAAGTCTTCCCCACTCCTGACCAAGCTGAGCAGCTCTGGTTAAGGCTCCCAGCCACCAGGCACAGCTTCACTGCAGGGCTGATCTGTTTTGGCTAGCTCCGGCCCAGTTTGGGATTCTTTGGTTTTGGTGTATCCATGGATGAGATATTTATTTCAAGGTTACTTGTCAATAGCTGTTTTAACAAGGCTTCCTTTGTCCCCTTCCCGGAGTCCTTTCTCTGCCTGTTGAGTCAGATTTCCAGGACAGTCACTTTTATGACTTAGCAGATCTGTTTTGCATGGGACCTGGCAGGTACTCGCTCATATCCTTCCTTCAGGTCTTGATCCATTTTTTTCTCAGTACTAACTAGTGAGGATTCTATCTAGGCTTTGACTTTTAGTCAGCTGGCTTTTCCCGAAGTCCCTGGGAAACTGTGCTCTTAACCCCCATGACGGTGCCTTCACCTACTCTGCCCTGAACAGCTAAGCCTCAGCTCTGCATGCAGAAGACAGAAAACCTGAAGGGCTCTGAGTCCCCAGGGCCACACCTTCAAATAGGGCAGGGCAAGAGGGAAGACCAACCTAGGACCTCAGTGCCACTGAAGCCTCTATCCTAGGAGCTGCTGCTGGGGACTTTGCTCTGCTCTGGGTAGTCCCCACTGCTTCCTAAGAGCTCTCTGGGGACCTCTTGTGCTCTGTGGGGGTCTGCAGTAGGCTTACCTAGGTCCTGTGGGTAGTCCCCACTGCTTACCTAGGTCCTGTGGGCATTGAACCCATCATGTCAACTGGGCCTGCTCAACTCCCAGAACATCCCAGTGGTTGTTTCCAGGGGAGGAAAAACTACTTTGGAGCCCAAATGTGCTATACAGCTCAGGCCCAGAGTGCCCTGTGGCCAGCACTCAAGTCTGAGACTGTCTTCCTCAGATGCCCGTCCACAGCTGCGCACCCTTCCACTGCACCTCTGATCTGGCTATGTCCTAACTTATTCTCCTCTCTCTTCCCAGCCTATCTTCTTGCTGTTGCCATTACTGTTCTAATTCTTAGTTAACTGAGCTCTGGTTAAGCCCACATCTTACTCAAAGTTCAGCAGCTCCCAAGTGTTGAAAGTCCCTTTGACAGCCGAGGGCCTTCTGACTAGGTAGGTTCTAGTCATTTTCTTGGGCATAACCCTTGACCTATCTAATGCACGCAGCAGTCTTTGCTAAAGTGACCTAGCTCTGCTCCCTGCCTGTGCATCCTGGAGACATATTACACAGGCTCTCACCTATCCCTTTAGTCTCGTCAACTCAGGCTCAGAAACTACTATAAATTCCACGTCATTCACTCAAGATAGAGGCTGTAGCACCTGGAACTTCAGTAGCGCTGCATACTTCTCTCTGGCTCGGTTACCAGTGGATACAACATCTCTTGCTGCTGGACCTTCCTGGAGGTCTTACTCATCTCTGGGCAGTGTAACGCATGGTCTGGGATGAAATGTTTATTTGCCAGATACATGTATGTCCATGGGCTCCTATGGACGATGGCTGGATACTGCACACAGGGGTTCAGATTCAAGGTCACTTTGAAAACTGTGTCCCTTATGGACCAGTCCTTTGAGGGACGAGACACAGTGCCTCCCTTACGAGATTCCCTAAAGCCTTTGGGTTCACAGTGCTTCATACAATGGGACACCCAGTGCATGCTGAAAATGAATGAATGGGAGAGTCAGAGATGGGCATAGCTGGCTCCTGTCGCTGAGCTGTGCTCCTCTCCTAGAATGTGAAGCGGAGGCTAGGAGTCGCTAGAGTCGCTAGAGGCAGCTGGCATATTCTCATGAGAAAAGAAATAGGGGGCTGGAGAGATGGCTCAGTGGTTAAGAGCATTGCCTGCTCTTCCAAAGGTCCTGAGTTCAATTCCCGGCAACCACATGGTGGCTCACAACCATCTGGAATGAGGTCTGGTGCCCTCTTCTGGCCTGCAGGCATACACACAGACAGAATATTGTATACATAATAAATAAATATTTAAAAAAAAAAAAAAGAAATAATGAAGCCCAAAGGATATGGATCCAGGAGCAGTAGTGACCACAGGGAGGAACTCTGTTCTTCCCTGTACTAAAGTATTTCTTTTAGTTAGAAAAAATAAGAAACTGGTTTAGTGCTGTTGGCAGACTGTTTCTTTGGCAAGTTCTAAGGTACATTCTGAATGCAGAAGACAGGTGGAATCGGCAATTTCCCACAATGCCCTTCAGGTCTATTTAATTTTGGGGGTTTTATTCTCCAGAAGAGAAGAGCAAGAACTAAAGACTGTACCCTCCTCATTTCCCATGTAAACTCAAGGCAGCTGAAGGGCATTGTGGGCACGGCCACCCACTGTGTGCTGTGCTCCAGCCCTTTGAGAGCAGCATTTGTTTCCCAGGCCTGGGGCCTGCTGCTCTAACTTGTGTCTTCACCAAAGGCTAGGGGGCAGAGCCACATGGTTCTCCTAGACGCAGGGAGGCAGGGAGCTCCCTTGTTCAATGCACTTCTTAAACGGCAGCCGTATGCCAGGCATGCACTGGAACAGTGCTAGGAGGAACAGTGAGCTTCTCTCATTTCTGACCTGCCTCCTGCACAGAGAGTAGGGCAACTTGCGGCAGAGTCACGCTCTAGTCCTAAGGCAGCTCAAACTTCTTGACTGAAGCCTGAGAAGCAGAAAAACAAAGATGAACAAATCCCCCTTGTGGAGAGCTTCTCAAAAAGTCTCAGAAATAGCTATCATGTTAGCTGTGTGGAGAGGCGGGTGTGCAGGCCACAGAACCAGGACCTCACATGAGCACGTGCTCTAGCTTCAGATCTTTAGAGGAAGAGAAGGAAAAGTGGACCGGCTGCTGGGTTTATACTAAGGAAGGGTGGACTACAGACAATGAACCAGACCTGCTTCTCAAACTAACAAATCCAGGCCCTGGTGACAGTGATTGGGGGTGGGGGTGGTAACAGCCAAGTCCAGAAGGGCTAACCTTGCCTAGACTTCTCCTGTGCGTGCTCCTGGAGACCTGGCTACCAGTTTAGTCAACACAAGGAGGCAGGAACCCCCTTGTTCTACCTGCCTTGGATGAGAAAGTATGGACAAGGAAAACACTGACAACTGGTTTTCCAGTAAGGAATCTGGCATCAGAGCCATGGGATAGGCATGGAGAGTTACAGTAAGGAAAGTCATTTCCTGGAGGCAACAAAGCAAATTTGTTACTCTTGGCCTGATGCACATCAGAGCTTCTCCTTCCATGGTCTTTCAGGCAAATGGCTCAACCAGATTTCAAAAAAGTCTGTTTAGATGCTGCTGTGTTTGGAGCTAGGAGCAGCATGGGGGCTGGAGGTAGGAGGTAAGGAGAGTGAGAACAGCCTGCTTAAGGCAGCTGCTGATGGGTTCCAAAGTGGCTTGAGCCCTACCACTGGGAAGTGCTAATTGGTTCTTTAAAGTGTGAGGCCAGCAGAGAGCCAGGGCGGAGGCAGGCAGTGTCCCCTGGAGTAGGTGAGAAGGGGGACTGCTGTTGTGCATCCCAACACTGGCACAACAGGAGCACCAAGAGCCTCGCTTGTAGCAGTCCCAATATACCATGCCAGCTGAGAGGAGACAAACTAGAGGCCCAGGTACCTGGCCCAGCTCTGGAACGGGCACTTCCTATGGAATCTCACTTTCCATGCCCGCTCTTTGGTAAACAGCCTGGATCCTCCAGGAGCACAGGTCTAACTTGCCCTGAGAAGGCAGATTTCCAGTCAGATGTCCCCTGCCAGCAGTTCAAGGCTCCTACCTTCACCAGGACCTGAAGATGCTGTCCCTGGTTCCTCTTCCTCCCTCTCGGTCTGTGTTTCAGCATTCTGCAACTGGAGGGCCAGAGTCTGGGTGCCCTGAGATGTCACAGAGGTGGTAGGGTTCCGAGGTTGCAGCCCAATTGCATTCATCAAGCCCATGTCTCTGTCTGTCCTCCATGTGGCTCTACTGGTTCTAAGGCAAAAAAGACAGACTGAAGTCAGGAGGGGCTTGGGACAGACCCTTCACAGAAGTCTTGGATCATACTTGGATGGGTGGGTGGTCCATCTTGGCCCACAGCCTTAAAAAGAAGAACCATGACACTACAAGTATCTCCTCGTGCAGCTATGATTAACTATCTACAAGTAAGGCCAAGGCCCAAGGCTAATGCCCTCCTTTCCCTGGGTAATTCCCTAGACAGACTTTTCAGACAGATAGTTATGACAGGCAGCAAAGCTGGGTCCCCAACTTCTGGGGCTGACCAATTACTCACTTTTAGCTTCTTCTGAGATTACCGCTCCAACTGTACCCTGTGATTCCTATAGGAAGCAAGACCTGCCTCAGGTCTCACGTTGAACCAGAATTTTGTTTCTACACAATGCTCCAGGTCTCATCAGTGGATTCAGTGAAAAAGATGAGAGCCAGATTCCTAGTCTCAGTGGCCCCTGAGCTACAGCCATTGGCAACTTGAGTCCTATGGTCCTAGTCATCGGAAGATACCCACTCTGCAGTTTTCTATGGGCAACAGACAAGAGTTCATGGGGTTCATACTATTTTTCTCCAGGATTTTTCTCTTTATTCTTACTCCAAGTGTGCTCAGACACCATGGCCAGTATTAGAGAAGGCAAGTGTTCTATGATAGAACTCTAAGAGCAAGGGTCTTGCTGCTTCTTTAGTAATTATGTGATGTGTGTATCTGTGTATGGGTATGTGTATGTGAGTGAAGGTTTAAGTATCCAGAGACCAGAGCATCACAACTCCTTAGGGCTGGAGTTGCAGGTGGCTTTGAGTTGCCTGATGTAGGTGTTGGGAACCAAACTCAGGTCTTCCTTCAGAGCAGTATGAACTCTTAACCACTGAGCAATAGCTCTAACCCCTGTCTTCTTCTGACTGTATGTAGAAGCCCAAGACAAGAAACAGATCAATGAAAAGTTGTTCTGGTTGATGAAAGACCCAGAGACCCTCAAACCCAGGAGTCTTCTGACTTCAGCTTACCCAGGCCGCTCGCTGCTCCTGCTGTTGGAGTGGACAGTGAAGACCGTCTCATTTAGCTGGTCCCAGTAGTACTCAACACCAGAGTTTAAGGCCCTAAAGATCCATTGGGAGAGGTGTTAAAAAGGCGCTTAAGAACTCTTGACAAGTCCTGGGCTTGGGGGCTGTGGTGGGGTGGTTCATGCTGCCCCTCTTCTGGGATGGGATACCAGGTCCAAATGCTCCCTTATTAGGGTGCTCAGTGTCTGAGCATGTGGTAGTTTGAATGTAGTTGGCCCCCATAAGCTCATAGGAAGGCACTATTAGGAGGTGTGGCTTTTGTGGCCTTGTTGGACAAAGTATGTCACTGGAGAGGCAGGCTTTGAAGTCTTTTTTTTTTAAATTTATTTATTTATTAAAGATTTCTGCCTCCTCCCCGCCACCGCCTTCCATTTCCCTTCCCCCTCCCCCAATTGAAGTCTTAGATATGATTAAGCCATGACTTGTGTTTCAGTTTACATCCTGTAAAATGCAGGTCAAGATGCAGGAATCTCCAGTTCTATCATCAGCACCAAGTCTGCCTGCATGCCACAATGATAATGGACTAAACCTCTGAAACTGGAAGCCACCCCATTAAATGCTTCCCTTTATAAGAGTTGCCTTGGCCATGGTGTCTTTTCACAGCAATAGAAACCCTAAGACAGAGTGTCTCAGATATTCTGAATATCCCAAATGCTTTCAGTAGGCTTCCCTTAGAGTCAAAAATAAAAAAAAAAATCACCAATACCAGATATGCAGCAGGTTCCAAGTATTATTCAGACACACATGGTGAACAAGAGGTAGACTTCCTGGAAAGACATGTGCTATGGACAGCTGTCAGAAGGGACCACTGAGTCTTCAGAAGCAGAGGGTCATGCCCTGAGCCCTTTCCTATTGCCAAAATGCTAAGAGGAAGAATGGAGGTACCTCAACAATCTTATCTGCCTGGAGCTGAATGGCTATACTGTTTTCTTTTCTTTTCTAGAGTCTCCCTGGCCAGGTTCAGTGAGACAGGCAAAAATTATAGTTGAGGTAGATCTTCTGCAGTATTCTATCTGCGGAGCTCCCTGGACTGCCAACTGTTATCAGGCAGCCTCTAGCCATGCCAGAGGGAAGTGGCGGTCATCTCATCTCTCTTTACCGGCTTGTCACAAGCTACAGTCCTGGACAGCAATGTGGATCCCTAAGGAGAACTGCTGCTGGGCATCAGCAGTGACACAGGACCTGTCTACATAAAATCTCTCGCGCCACAAACACAGGGTAAGCTCCCTCCCTATCTAGGCAGAATGGCAAATAACAATAGTGCTAGCAACTTGGGAGGCAAAGGCAGAAGGATCAAGAATTGAAGGCTAGTTAGGCTATGTGAAACTCTGTCTCATCAAGCAAATAAGCAAAATAAAGGTCTTTCTCTGATAAAGTATTACCTTGTAGCAGACACTATGGTTGAGAGTAGGGTGCTGGTGATTGCTGTCACGTGTGAGAACAGGAAGGGGGAAAGGGAGAGGGTTTGTTTTAAAGACTTACTTAGTTTTATTTTATGTGTATATGTGAGCGCTTGCATGCATGCATGTGTACCACATGTATGCTTGGTGCCTTTGAAAGCCAAACAAGGATGTCTGATCTTCTAGAACTGGAGTTACACACTGTCATCAGGTCACGCTGGATGAGTCCACTCCGTGAGATGCAATCTCTATCTAACACGACTAGGGTAGCCAAAAAACTGAGACTGAACAGGTCAGGAGCCTAGGAGAAAACCAACACTACTGTCCTCTTAAAGGAACATAGCAATAAAAAGACTCCTAATGACATTCCACCATGCCCACAGATCAGTGCTTTGCTTCGTGCAGTAGACGGTAATTAACACAGAGACTCACGCTGGACAATGCGCAGAGAATAAGAGACGTTGGAAAACTCCATCTTAAATGGGATGTCTTCATCAAAGCCCTCCCTTCAGGCCTCAGAGAGCCATGCAGAAGAGAAGGCAGAAACATTCTAAGAACTACAAGTGGTGGATGACTGCAAGGACTACAGGACTGATCACATGTGAGTTCAAAGAGACTATGGCAGCACGCGCAGGGCCTGCACAGGTTCTAGCCAGAGAGGGTCCCAGGGCTAAGAGTAGAAAGTGAACGTGGGTTACCACTTTCTAACCAAGAAGCCACCTGCAACTGATACCTGCTTGCAAAGGAAAAAATCATTTTCTCCAATGAAATTTCACTGAGTGTGTTAGTCACACTTCAGGGTAGGCCCCATGCACACTAGTTGAGTCAATACAAAACAAACTCAATGGCATTTCTGCAGACTTTTGTCTCATATTGCTTTGTTTGGGCACAATTATGTTTTTACTGATCTTTTGCTTGCATATTCTGGTTTCCATTTATGTAGTTTTCTAAGTGTTTCCTATTTTGTTTTGTTTTTTAAGAGAGGAAAAAAAAGGTATGGAGAGGAACTGGAAAGAGTTGGGGGAGAGGAAAAGTGTGATCAAAATATATAAAAATTTTTTCAATTAAAAAGGGAAAAAAGGAACAGCAAATGCTCTTAACCACTGAGCACTAACATCGTTCTAACACCTCCTAAAACAAGATATTTTATATTTACTAAATATTATTAAATATTTATTTAGTGTGTGTGTCACACATGGTACAGAAGGCATGTGAAGGTCTAAGGACTTGGTCCTCTCCTTTTACCATATGGGTCCTAAGATCAAACTCATGTTGTCACTCATGGAGTCAGGCACCTTCACCCACCGATCCATCTAACCAACCAAATAACAGTTTTAAATTCACTATTTAGATCTGGTAGATAGCCTGAGTGTATCTAAAACATCTCACAGTGCTCCAGAATAAGTCAAGAAATCCACATTCGCCGGGCGATGGTGGTGCACGCCTTTAATCCCAGCACTTGGGAGGCAGAGGCAGGCGGATCTCTATGAGTTCGAGACCAGCCTGGTCTACAAGAGCTAGTTCCAGGACAGGCTCCAAAACCACAGAGAAACCCTGTCTCGAAAAAGCAAAAAAAAAAAAAAAAGAAAAGAAATCCACATTCTTCAAGAGTTTGGCTTGAAGAGCTCTGTTCTTCCAACTTCATATTCTTAAGCTCCAACACCAGTATTTAGGAGGTAAACACGGTTAAGGGAGGCCATTAAGATGGACCTTAACCTAGAACTATGGTCTTACAAGGACTCTAGAGACACAGCCTGGCATGGTGAGATGGTAGGCATCTATAAACAAGGAAGACAGCCCATTCAGGAAACCCCTGATGGTACTTGATCTTGGCATCTCCGCCTCTAGAACTGTTCTCATATCTGTCTGCAGAGCTCATGGTCACGGGACTCTTCCTCAGACCCCTCTTTATCCAGTACAGGTTCCTTCCTCTAAAGTTAATTCTGTGGGGTCTAAAGGCTACTGGACGGCAAAGGTGAGACAGTCTCGCATTAGAGAAAGGCAAATGTCCAGAAGCAAACTGCAGAGCCTCCCCAAATGGCACTTTCTGGGGAGCAAATCCTGGCTGCATTATGTCTACGTGAAGCCAGCTGCCAAGAAGCCTTTGATTTACAAACTTGTCAAGATTTATTGACAGGTTGCAATTCCATGTGGGCCTCTGCCAAATCCCGCCTCTGTAATTCCTCTTACTCAGGGCTAGCTAGTGACAACAAACTGTTCACACCTAACCTACAACAAACCATGTACTGTGTAACCAGGAAGCTTCTTTCTGTCTGAGAAGGAAACCTTTAGAAGAACCAGTCTGTTCTGGGACCATCAACACGACACAAGAGGCCAAGGACAACCCCCCCCCCCCCCACACACACACTCACAAAATAATCAGGCAGCGTGTGCCCTCCCTTAAGAGCTGGGGACTGAGTCCTTACTAAAGAGGTCAACTGCAAATCAACAGGGATCACAGGTGTGACTATTGGCACACACCTGTAGAGCTGAAGGGTCTTGACTCTGAGCCCTGCCTATACTGCTGTTTCTGTGGCCAGTGAGTCTTATGACAAGGCTTGGGTACTGAAGGATCAGAGTTGAAGATACCCTCCCTTTAAGTTCTAAGAATGATCTGTAGCCAGCTTGTGGTACAGAGGGATGAGTCACTGTTTGTTCTAGGTCCTTCCTGGGAGCTAGACAAACATACAAAGGGATAAAGACCGGGAAGGTCATCAAGGGGTTTCTACAGAGCACCTGACTCTCTTCAGCAGTCTCTCTAAGCTGCTTCTGGGTGTGGCTCAATCAGTCGCACTGCTGGAACCCTCCTGGGCTCCTTGATAGAGGGGAGAGCAAGCCTTGCTTTCTCAGTGGCCCTAATATTCTGTTCACACAATCTGTGGCTCTGAGCTTCCTAGCTTCTTGAGAGCACTCTTCATCTGTTGGTCTCAGGGCTGCCTCTAAGGACTGTTTCCAGGAAGAGTGGCATTTATATGTACTCTCTCTGGTGAGGGAGAGTTGGCACCTGGCTCTCCTGAAGGATGGAGTCTCTGTGGCAGTTCTGGCTCTCTCCTTTTCACTTCAAGTGTGTCTTTCCCCTGCTTGGTTAACACTTGATTATAATGACCATTTATACCGGCAGCTCCTTCTGGGGCTTAGTGAGGAGCACCACCCTTGGCCAAGGTTCCCAGTGCTCCATGGTCAGGCTACTTTTCTTCTGCCAATCTCCTGTCTGCCTTCTGACCTGACTCTGGAAGCAATGGTCTAGTAGCACCTCCCCACACCTTCATTAACAGGGAAAACCCATGAAGCCAGTGGTCCTTCACACTCACTGTGAGGATCAGTGGTGGTGGCTAAGCCAGAGGTACTGCAGCAGCAGCCTGGAAGTAGTGAGGAACACCACATTACTAGGAAGGGAAAGCTGGGCTATTGGCCACCATGGCATGATAGCTTGGTACTGGTCCTCAAGGGACAGTCTTCACTTGTCCTAAGACTTCTTTCCCAGAGTGAGATAGGATATTCTTTAAAGCCTTTGTCTATTGTCAAGTGGGGATTTACAACCACCAAGAGATACCCAAGGAGCTTGTTTCCAGTCTTTGTGCTTGGCAAGAGTGCTGAGGTTGAGACAATGGAAGAGAATCAAGACCAGCATTTGAGAGAACAAAATGCAATGCAGCTGCCTGCGTCTGGACAAAGGCAGGCAGCCACCTGTTTTGGAGGAGGGCTACAATCTTGGCCCAGCTGGTGGGCTGTATTCTGTGCCCTTGGGAATGGGTGTGCCAGGGAACTACATCACCCAGGGACAGGCAGCAAGCTTAAGCAGCTGCCAATGAAACAGACAGGCACCCTGAATTCCTACTTCTCTGTTTTCAGTCGAGGCAAGAGGCCTATCACAGATGTTGACACTCTAGCTTACCCTCCCATTTTCCAATGGACCAATTGTCTGATTCACCTAAATAGGGCCCAGGAAGCCACAGAAACATGAGCACATTCCTGTGATATTCTTTTATGCAGGAGAGAGTATGCTTCTTTCTTAGAAATTAAAAAAACACAAACAACTTTTAAAGAACATGTTTGTCTTGTGTACTTGTGTGTCACACTCATCTGAAGTCAAAAGGAGTTCAGGGCTTTGATTGTTTCCCTCTACCACATGAGTTCCGGGGATTAAACTCAGGCCCTTTAACTGTTTGAGCCACCTCAAAGGCCTTATTTATTTTTAATTTTTTTGAGTCTTACTATCTAACCCAAGGTAGCTTCAAACTCAGCCTCCTGAGGTTATAGTCATGCACCACCATTTCCTGCTTTAGAGGGATTTTTTTTTTTTCATAGGTAAAGGGCTAAATACCAGTTACAGGAAAGAGATCTGGATTGGAAAATTCAGAGACTCAATTTGTGGGGAAGCCTTAGGTAATTGGTAATTTTCTTTCCTTGCCTGAAGTAAAAACCAGCTATGAAGGTGGCTGAGCTCGGCATAGAGGGAAGAGCTCGTGATGGGGAGTGTGAGGAAGTCCAGGCTACAGAGTGTGTCAAGGCCAACCTTGGCTACGTAGGGAGACCCTGGGGAAACTTTGTCTCATTCATTTCAAATTTATAGCAGACCCCAAATTTCTTATCTTAAGAGTATGGGATCCCAAGAAATCAGAATAAATAGCAGAACCAAAACTGGTAGGCTAAGTTACCTCCACTTGGCCTTGGATGGGACTGTCCCATAGCCCAGTGTCCATTTTACTTAGGTAAGAATTTCTTTCTTACAAGATGGCTTGGGCTCAATGAGACTCTAGGATGCTGAAGACGACATATGGGGAGGAGAGAGAAAAGAGAGGGCAAAGTCCCCTTCACATCTGGCTGAGGAGTCTGTGACTCTCAGCAGATATGTGGGCTAGGGTTCAAACACGACATCGGGAGGGTGACAACAGCTTGGGTTAGAGAGTGTCTCTGGGAGGCCATCACTTTATAAAGAAGAGGGTTTGAGTACTTTGATAGGAATGAAAGTAAGTGGTAGAAGCCATAGATAAAACAAGATGGTAGAAGAATGAGCTCTCTGAAGAACAGGAAATGAAAGGCTATAACTATAGTGTTGGGTATGTGTGAAATTATGGTCCAGAATCCTATACCAGTTTTGGAAAAGATGTCTACTAGATTTCTCTTAGGACTTCCTAATGAGAAGAAAGATAACCAGAGTCATGTGGTTTGGGGAGATCCCACACAGACCCTAGACTAGGGACAGTACAGAGAAAGGCGAGAAAGGGACAGGTCCAGTGTCTGGGCCATCAGAGAGGTGGGCTCTGCTCTGGAAGTAGTAAGAACGGCTTTGTGGACACAGAAACATAGGAGCAAGTAACTGCCAGAACAAGGCCTCTCCCTGCTCCAAGACCACCTTTACTGGGTCAGATGTAAACAGCAGCCTCTTTGGGAGGGTGAGTAATATTCAAGATGGAAAGAAGGCACCACTAGTTCTAATAAATGATGGAGGAAGGTCATTGGCTAATAAAGGAACTGCCTTGGCCCATTTTATTGGTTAGAGGATAGGTGGGAGGAGTAGACAGAACAAAACGCTGGGAGGAAGAGGAAGTGAAGTCAGTCTCAACAGCTCTCCTCTCGGGAGCAGACGCCTGAGAGAGACGCCATGCCCCGCTCCCGGGATGAAGCTCCGACCCAGGATGGACATAGGCTAGAATCTTCCTGGTAAGCGCACCTTGGGGTGCCATACACAGATGATTAGAAATGGGCTAAATTAATATGTGAGAATTAGCCTAGAAGAGAATGGGCCAAGCAGTGTTTAAAAGAATACAGTGTCCGTGTAATTATTTCGGGACATAAACTAGCCGGGCAGGCGGCTGGGGTGCTGGGGACGCAGCCCCGCCGCCCCTATTACTACAAATAAACTAGGTTTTCTCTCCCAAGTGCCACTGTTCTAATGTAGCTGATGATGGACAGGGTCAATCCCCAGTCACTTACCCGGCCATAAGAACAGATCCAAATACATTCTTAGAAAAGACACAAAGGCCCCACCAAATCCCAAACAAAGTCATGTGGAAGATGGGGATGCAGATCAGTTGAAGAATGCTTGCCCAGTAAATCAATGTACAAAGCCCTGGATTCAAACCCTAGTACGGCAAAAACTGGCTGTAAGGGACAGGCTATAGACCCAGAACCTGGAAGGTGGAGGCAGGATGATCACAAGATCCTCCCTGATGACAAAGCCTGAGGCTAGCCTGAGATACATAAGACCTTGTCTTCAAAAAATAAAATAAATAGAAATAAACAATGTGGGTTCATCCAAAGGCCAAATACCAAAGACTTTGCAAGACCAGCTATAACACGCAGTCTGGTCTATACAACACTCTAGAAAACTGCACCAAGTGAAGAATAGAATTAGGGCAGCCTGGAGGCAGAAGTAGCATTTAGTCAGCTGGCTCCCCACAGTGTCCCACGCAGCAATCAGCCTGATCTGCAGTGAGGCAGGGCTTCACACGCTCTGCCTGGCTGAGTATAGAAACTGATAATAAAGCAGGCTGATTCCTGGGTCTAGAGTAAGCGTCTGGAGAGACCTCTAGCCTCCAGAAAGCCAGAGGAAGGGAAAAGGGGTAATCAGGACAGAAGTCCTCTTCTCTCTCTTACTTCACGTCCAGGTAATAATCACTGTGACCTTAAATTGAGTTTTTGAATCTGCTTTCACTATTATAAGCTAGGGCTTCAAGTAAAAAGGAACAGACAGGACACAGAAACATGCTATTAGAGATTAGCCTGACTGATGGGTTTATTTATTTTATGTGTTTATTTTATTTTATTATTCATTATAGCATATAATAATATACTATAAGCATAATATAAATAATAAAACATACTATTTTATAACATATATAATATATAATTTTATAATGATAAAAATATTATTTTATGTGTATGTTTGTCTACATGTATATGTGCAACACATTTATCCTGGCACCTGTGGAGATCAGAAGAGGGAATCAAATCCCCTTGAACTAGAGTTACAAATGGTTGTGAACCACCATGTGAGTACTGGGAACCTAACTAGGTCTCAACAAGAAAAACAGTACACTTGACTGCTGGACTATCTCTCCAGCCCCTAAACTGAGGTTTTAATAAGACTGTTTCCAATTTTATTTATTTATTATTATTATTATTATTATTTTTTTTTTTTTTTGGTTTTTCGAGACAGGGTTTCTCTGTGGCTTTGGAGCCTGTCCTGGAACTAGCTCTGTAGACCAGGCTGGTCTCGAACTCACAGAGATCCGCCTGCCTCTGCCTCCCGAGTGCTGGGATTAAAGGCGTGTGCCACCACCGCCCGGCTTCCAATTTTATTTCTTAAGTTCATGTTCTTTGCATTTACATAAACATGAGACCACTTGTCAAACTTTCCAAAAAAGGCTTTTAAAAAGAACCATTCTTTTGCCTGAGGGTACAATAACTAGGAAAACAGACAGTAAGAGACAACAAAGGAAATATACCACTGTCTAGATTCAGGAAAGCACAGTATCTGCAGTGGTGCAGTGCCAGAGATTCGCCATAAGGCCTTATTATGTTAGCCTCTACCACAGATTCACATTCTCAGCCCTCTGTAATTTTGAAATTGGAGCTCACGATGTAAACCATGTTGCACTTGAACTCATGATCCTCCTGCTTCATCCTTCAAAGTAGCTGGGGTTAGAGGGTACCAGGGCACATCCAGCAGTCTTTTGACAGCATTTGGAATTAAGAGCTAACTAGTTTGAGAGAAGAAGGTTCTTTAAGCAGCCTGGGAAGTTACGTGTGGAAACACTATGAAAATACAGAAGCCCCTTCCCCCTTCTATGCAGTTGAGGCTAGTTTTGAACCTCATTCTTTTGTTCATGTCCTTCATGTATTACCTCCAATACCTATCTAGCAGGGTTTGCATTGTCCTTGCAGAAGGCCCTACCTGGTTGGCCAGGCCCACAAGTGAGCACTGTTTGATATAAGCCTCTGTTCAGACAGTGTCCATTCCCACCCCTTGAGAAACTCACTCTGGTCGGCAGATCACCAGGTCTCCTTTGTTGGTGCCATAGGCCAAACCAAGTCCTGGCTCAGGTAGCCAACGGGCAGAGTTGATGCTGACATGTCTCCGCTGGTCAGCAGGCATGGGGTAAAGGACGTTGAAAACTCTCTGGGTGGGAGACAGAGAAAAGAATGGGAGGAGAAACAACTTGTTACCAAAAATAAGAAATGCAAGGAGGATCAAATTAATCATAGGGAAAGGAGGAGACTTTAGACTGGGAATGGGCTAAGACCCGGGGAAGGAGGAGTGGGAGTCCTCTTACTCTCCAGAGAGCTAAGTCTTTTCTGGGAGCTCACTTAATCTCAGCATGCCTCACCTCACTGCTTTGACAGAAGGGCCAGAAAGGCCTCACCTACAGCCCACCACACTGGAAAGGAATGGCCATAACTTTCCTGTGACCAGCATAGAACCAGCGAAAGGCAACCTGGGCTGGTAGTATTGTTACTATGGAAACCCCAGAGCTCCCACAGCAATGGGGAATTGGAGGTGATAGGGGGGCGGGAGGGGGTGATAACATCAGAGAACATTCTTAATTCATCTAATTAAAAGCACTGTTAAAGCTGCTATTGTTAAGGAAATCCAAAAGGTATATTCAGATGTGGGGAGCAGGGTAGAGGGGAATCTTCAACTTGCAGGCCCATGACTACCTTCTGGCTTAATAAACCACCATTAGATCCATCTCCTTTCTCAAAGGCAGAAATTCCCATTTCAGTGATTTCTGTCATCTTTCCAAAAGCTACTTTGTCTTGAGGGTCACCTGGCTTCATCTACAGTTTGGGCTCAAGGGAAATTCAGTGACAAGGTCTCTGACACTCACCTTTAGTCAGAGATTGGGGCACGGAAGAGAAAAATGAAAAGACAGGGGCATTTACTTGAACTTAACTTTGAACCCTGATGTGACTACATAATAACTTGTCTAGATCTTAGCTTAAAAACGTCCCATTCAAGACTGAGGATACAGCTCAGCTGACAGAGTGCTTGCCTAAGCATTCATGAAGCCCTGTGTTTGATCTCCAGCACCGCATGTGTGTGGTGATACACACCTGAAATCCCAGCACTCAGGAGGAGGAGACAAGATGACCAGTTGGTTCTTTGGTTACAGAAAGTTAAAAACCAGTCTAGATTATGTGACACTTTATCTCAAAGATAAATAAACAAACAAACAAACAATTTTTTTTTAAAGTGAAAAGAGAGCTGAGATGCAGCATGCTCAGCATGCTCAACAGTGCACTTGCCAAGCATGCCAAAGCACCAAGTGTCATGCCATGTACCACAAATGGCAGGGCAACAGGGGGACGGGGATGGAACTGACCAACCAATCACTACTACCACAGAAACACTTGCATTCAAATAAATAGGAAAATTTAAGAAATGAGGGATATAAAAATGGCCTGGCATGGCATAAGCTTATAAATGGCAGCTGTGGATACTGTGGCGAGGAGCCTGCACTTCAGAGGGCCCATGGAAGGGCAGGAGTGAGACTCTCCTCATTTTTTCCCACTTTTGTTTTTTGCCTCCTTGATCTTCTTTTTTTTTTTTTTTTTTTTTTTTTTTTTTTTTTGGTTTTTCGAGACAGGGTTTCTCTGTAGCTTTGGAGCCTGTCCTGGAACTCTCTTTGTAGACCAGGCTAGCCTCGAACTCACAGAGATCCGCCTGCCTCTGCCTCCAGAGTGTTGGGATTAAAGCTGTGTATTATCATACCCAGCTGATAATTATTTTCTGATTACTCTAATAAGAGACTAAAAGGGGGGAGAGAAAATATGCTCAAAATATTTTTTTTTTTTTTTTTTTTTGGTTTTTCGAGACAGGGTTTCTCTGCGGCTTTGGAGCCTGTCCTGGAACTAGCTCTGTAGACCAGGCTGGTCTCGAACTCACAGAGATCTGCCTGCCTCTGCCTCCCGAGTGCTGGGATTAAAGGTGTGAGCCACCAACGCCCGGCTCAAAATATTTTGTATGAACACTTAAAATAAAAAAATTTTAAAAAGAGACTGAAAGAAAAAAAGCACTGAAGCTAAAACCTGGAGTGGGAATGGTGGTGCAGCCTTGTAAGCCTAGCCCTTGAGGCTGGGCAAGAGGACCTTAGTTTTGAGATCAGCCTAGGCTATATGGTGTGACCCTGCCTCAATGCCCCACTCTAAAGAAATAAAACTCAAATGAAGAGTCTCTTTCCTGATCTGCTCAAAGCAAGCAGTCTTGGTTTTGAGAATATGGATACAACTGGAAAAGCCTTCACCAAGACATGCGCATCCCATACATTATCATACAACGAGAATCCTGAGATCACTAACTTTTCCGGTGTGGCACTGAGAAAGGTATCTAGCTCTGCTATGGTCCTCAGGTTGAATGAGCCTTTACCAACACAGACCTGGCTTACTAAGAAACTCTTGGTCTAGCGTGATGGAACACATCTAGGAACACAGCACCTGGAAGCTGAGGTGTGAGTGACAGAAGTTCAAGGCCATTTTGAGACTACCTCAAAACAAAAACAAATCAAAGGCCACAGAGATGGCTCAGCAGGCAGAGGAACTTGCACACAGGCCTGACGACCTCTATATCCCACAAGGTGTCAGGAGACAAGTGACTCCTGATCACTGTCCTCTGACCTTCATACATGCCACGGCATAAGTGCACGTACACAAGCAGGCACAAAATTAAAAAACAAAAACAAACAAAAACCACCAAGCCAAACCAAAACAAAGATAAAAACCTCCTATGCCGGGCTGTAAAGATGACCCAGTAGTTAAGAGCACAGGCTGCTCTCCTAGAGGGCCAGGGTTCAATTCCTAGCATCCACATGGTGGGTCACAGCCATCTGTACTCTAGTCCCAGGGATCCAAAATCCTCTCCTGGTTTCCTTGGGCATGCAAGTGGTAGATAGATAGATGATAGATAGATAGATAGATAGATAGATAGATAGATACACACACACACATATGTAAAATGCCCATACATATTAAGTAAATGAAGAGACATATTTCCTGTGAGACTCAACTAAAAAGAATTAGTCAGAGCTCACAAATTTTCTAACTAAAATCCAGCCCAATGATATCAGGTACAGTGACACAAATCTTTGTAATACTAGTGTTTAAGGGAGAGAAGCAGGAGAACTTCTCCAAATCTGAGGCTAGCCTGGGCTACGTAAGGCCCTATCTTAAGGAGGGGGGAAAAAGGCCCGGAGAATTTATGAACTTCAGTTCTAATCATCCAGAATATGGCCTTCTGGCCTGTGGATTAATCTCCTCATACAAACATTTGGTAGAGCTTTGAGCACACTCAGAGCTATTGCTGAACACTTGGCATATCTGGTTGACAGTTCACACAATCAAGACTTTTCCTTGCCGGGCGGTGGTGGTGCACGCCTTTAATCCCAGCACTCGGAAGGCAGAGGCAGGCGGATCTCTGTGAGTTCGAGGCCAGCCTGGTCTACAAGAGCTAGTTCCAGGACAGGCTCCACAACCACAGAGAAACCCTGTCTCAAAAAACCAAAAAAAAAAAAAAAAAAAAGACTTTTCCTTTAAATAAAGAAATGTGGGGCTAAGGACATGGCTTGGTGGTTAAGAGTGCCTGCTGTGCCCTAAGAGTCATGGGAATGTGGATTCGTCCTCTGGCTATAGCTTATCTTTCCCAAACCCAAGTCCTTAAGCAGAGCTAAAGAGGCAACTCCAATCATCTGTCACCTGCAACATTTGGAGATTAGGCTAAAACCTAATTTGTGACAGGAAGCTAGAAGAATGTGCTATGGACACTCGCATCCTGCAGCTTCTGACCACCACACTGAAGCATGAGAGTGAGCGGAAGGAGATGAGCACAGACTGCCAGGGCAGAGGAGCGCCTAGAAGATGTAGGAGCATGAGATTCCTGACTCTTAGGGCAGAGGAGCGCCTAGAAGAAGGAGGGACACAAGATTCCTGACTCTTAGGTCCTTTCAGACATTTATGCAACCTAACGGCCCTTCAGCAGAGAGAGCCTGACCCCATCTAAGGAGTTGGAGGGTTTTCAATCCCTTTCCCTGGCCAGAGCTAGACAGCTCTCAGTGTCCCTCATGGAGAGGAAATGTGTCTCACAAGTAATCAAGCCCTGGAGATGAGAAAATTATCTGGGCAAAAATTTACCCAAACTGACAGAAGGTTAGGTAGCTCCAGTTACTCCTGAACCATGTCTGGTTTTTCAGTCATAGTCTGTCTAAACCAGGTTGGCTGAGGCTCTTCCAAGACTGTGACGGGGTTGGGCTCTGTGAATCAAGTTCACCTTCAACAACAATCTGATTCAGTGTAGGTAGCAGACAGCTTTGCCTCAGCTAAGGTTCCACAGATAAAGTTAAAAGGTTTCCAGCTGGGCAGTGGTAGCACACACCTTTAATCCTAGTACCTGGGAGGCAGAGGCAGGCGGATCTCTGTGAGTTTGAGGCCAGCCTGGTCTACAAGAGCTAGTTCCAGAACACCTAGGGCTATTAACAGAGAAACCCTGTCTCAAAAAACAAAAACAAAAAACCCAAAAAACCAAAAAAAAAAAAAAAAGAAAGAAAGAAAGAAAGGAAAGAAAAGGTTTCCTTAACACTCTCCAAGTGTCCTGAAGTCCCTGGCGTGTGAAAGGTCACGCCAGTCATCGGCCAACCTCCTGACCCACGACAGAATGACATCCCATGAACTACACTAATTCTAGGACACTGGAAGAGAACTATGAGAACCTGGGGATCCTGTGCAAGAAACCATACAAAACTGCACCGCTGACTCATGTCTGGAAAGTCTCGGTTTCACCTGCGTTAGCTGTAGCTAATGCTTTGGAACATGACAGGTGCTAACAGCACATCTCCCCTCCTAGGAAGCACAGCATTCTCATTCTGTCTATCATCTATAAAGAAAATGAGAATATGCTAGAAGGAACAGACTGTAGCAACCATACAGTCTCAGTACATCAATAGGGAATGGGCCAAGTTACCAAATCTTCATAGTTCTAAGGGAGCAGAGGAAGATTATGATTCCTCCCTCCACTTCTAGGGGTCAACAAAACCCATGGATCACTTGCTTATCCATTAAGACAGTAGGAACAAAAGAAAAAGTTCCCAGATCAAAACTGAGAGCGCTCTCTCTCTCTCTCTCTCTCTCTCT